ATCAACAATCAAGTAACAATAATGGTTCTTCCGCCACACATGATTCTTCTTCGTTATTCTCAGACACATGCAACCCCTATACTCTCATGTCTTCCTATGACACTTTTCCTTAGATAATAGACTCAGGGGCTACAAATCATATGACTGGTAACTTGCAATGTTTATCTAACCTTAAAAATAATTAAAATATGAACCTTGTATCTATTACTAATGGTTACTTGATTCCTATCTATGGTGTTGGTAAGACCAATTTCTTCTTCAAGTCACGAAAATCTGAAGTTCTTTTTATACCATCATTTTCCTCTAACTTGATGTATGTTAATAAAATTCCTCAAAGTATGAATTACAATGTTATTTTATCTTCCGACTCTGTGACTTTCTAAGACTGGACTATGGGGAGGAAGATTAGTGAAGGGAGCCTGTCTCATGGGCTATATTTATTCAATCAGAAGGATAAGGCTTTGGTTGCCATCCAAGGCAATACTAATATTAATAAATTGTGGCATTGGAGATTTGGACACCATTCAGATAAAATTTTGAAAATCTTAATGTCGTCTCTATCTTTAAATTTTCATTCTTGTGAAGTTTGTAAATTTTTAAAATAAATAAGACTTCATTTTCAGTCTTCTATACATACATGTTTCAAATGAACATGTGTGGGGGCCAGCCTTAGATGATTCTTATGTTGGCTTTAAATATTTTGTTATTTTTATTGATGATTGCTCTCGTACTACTTGGGTATACTTATTAAATTTTTTTTAAAAAAAGTTTTTCTTGTATTCAAATATTTTTTTAAACTAATTTCCACTCAATATAATGGCAAGATTAGAATTTTGTGAACGGATAATGACACAGAATATGTGAACAAAGCTTTTTCTGAGCATTTATATAATCTTGGTATTATACACCAAATATCATGTGTTGAAACATCTCAGCAGAATGGAGTTGCTAAAAGGAAAAATAGACGTCTTTTGGAAATTATAAGGTCTTTGTGTTTCCGATGCATTTTCCAAAATTTTATTGGTCTGTACTTGTTTTAACTGCTTGATATCTGATTAACAGACTTCCAAGTAAAATTCTAAAGGATAGATCTCCCCTTTAAGTTTTAAAAAATAGAAAATTGATTTATCCTATTTGTGTGTAATTGGATGCGAGTGTTATGTTCATGTGGTTGAGCACAACCGAGATAAACTTGATAAGCGTTCCAGTAGATATGTCTTTCTTGGATACTCCTCTACTCAAAAGGGATGCAAATGTTATAATCCCATAACCAGAAAATGTATATTTTCAAAGATATTCAATTTGTTGAAATAGAGTCATATTTTCATAACACATTGGAGAGTGATTTGGAAAATAGGACTCATGGGGAGTGTTTAAGAGGTCATTAGCACCAGAGATGTATCCAACACACCCGAAACAAGTCATGATGATCAAGTCGAAGTTGAAGATACCTCTGAAACTCACCAAGCTGGTATAGAAGAAGAAGACTTCGTTGTGGCCCTACCTAATCGTCATTGCGCAGGTCTTATCGTATCTCTCAACCTTTCTCTAGACTTCAAGATTTTTATACTTACATTGCAGTTTCTTATCTTATTCAAAATCAAATTTCTTATGAAAAAATCTCTCCTGGCTATTTTGCTTTTTTGAGTTCGATCTCTAATAGTTCTAATCCAACTAATTTTCAAGATTGCATTTCTCAACCTGTGTGGAGGAAGACCATGAAATGGGAACTTCAAGCACTTGATAAGAACCATACTTGGAACATTGTTAAGTTACCTAAAGAGAATAAAGCAGTTGGATGTAGATGAGTTGTAAAAATTAAATATAATAGTGATGGGTATGTTGATAGATATAAGGCCAGATTGACAGCCAAATGATTTATCCAAACTTATGGAGTCGACTATAACGACACTTTTGCACCAATTGCTAAGATAAATATTGTTCATGTTCTTTTTCCTATCACAGTTAATTGTGTCTCTACATCAATGGATGTTAAAAATTCTCTCTTACATGATGACCTTCAAGAAGACGTCTGTATAAGTCTTCATCCAGGCCATTATAAGGAAAATGAGAAATGTCTTGTATGCAAATTAAAGAAGACTTTGTATGGACTTAAACAATCACGTTGCGCATGATAATGCCAAACTCACCTCAGCCTTGATGAGCATAAGGTTTTTTAGAACTTTGGTTGATTCTTTGATGTTCACAAAAATGGTAACTTCAGGTACAACATTTTTACTCATTTATGTTGACGATATTATCATTACAGATAATGATAAAGAAAGCATCATGAAGCTTAAAAAATATCTTCACAAGAAATTTGACATCAATGATCTAGGTCAACTAAAGTATTTTCTCGGCTTTAATGTAGCACATTAAAAAAAGGGACTTTTCATTTCTCAAAAGAAATATGTATTCAATATGTTGAAAGAAATTGTGAAACTGGGAGTCAAACTCATTGACATTCCTGTTGGTATTAATTGCGAGCTTAGTTCAACAAATGGGAAAAGCCCTCTTGAAGATGTGGGCCGCGTTTAGAGAATTATAGGCAGATTGATTTATTTGACTGTGACAAGACTAGATACAATGTATACGGTTAGTCTAATTTATCCATCCTTCTAGATTATGTCATATAGAGGTTGTCAATAAGATTCTAAGATATCTTAAGTCGTCACCTGGTAGAGGTGTTTGATTGAAACCGAATGTTCACACTAATATTGTAGGTTATTCTGATCCTGACTAGGAAAGTAGTCCAATTGACAGGAAGTCTATTATTGGCTATTGCACATTGGTCGGAGGAAACTTAAGTATTAGGAAACAAAAGAAACAAAATGTAGTTGCTCGGTCCATTGCAAAGGCCGAATATAGAGTTTTGACTTTAACTACAAGTGAATTGATATGGTTAAAATTCCTACTTCAAGATATGAGGTTTCAACGATCAATCCAATAGAGATGTTATGTGATAATCAAGCAGCTATGCATATTGTCTCCAATCCAGGTTTTCATGAAAGAACCAATCACATAGAAGTTGATTTACATTTTGTGAGAGAAAAGGTTCAGTAAAAAATTATTATTACTCCTTTACCAAAGCTATTGCAAAGACAAAGTTCCATCAGATACTGTCCAAGTTGTGCTCCATTGATATCTACGCGCCAACTTGAGGGGGAGTGTTCACCATTATAGAAACCAGATATTGAGTTTCATATATTGTATATTACAAGATATTACAAGGTATTAAGTTTCTTATATTGAGTTTCCTATTTTGTGGGATTACAATTGTATGAGATTTGTTTCCTAAAAGGAAAGAATTGTAACTCTATAAATTTCTAGTAAACCAGAATAATCCCTATGAATGAGATGCTGGTTTACCCTCCGTGGACGTAGGCACAATTGCCGAACCACGTATATGTCTTGTTGATATTTTATCTCTCTTTCGTCTCTATTTATTTTATTAGAAATTCTACATAGAGTCATTGACTGTGTAACCTCACTGGTGGTGTAAACTCACTGGCGGTCAATTTCATAAGTGCTTTAAACACACCCGACTGCGTAAACTCACTAGGAATTTGAACTCACTGACATTGTAACCTAACTAGAAGTATCACATAAGTGTTACTAGGATCTTTATGCCGACGGTACACAGTTACTCACAAATGGTATGTTCCAAGCTAATCACTCAGTTATAGTGGTCTTAAAGATTAAATTGTATGAGGGTTAGTCCTTGCTCGTCCTACAAGTGGTAGTCTCATTTCCCCAGCAGTTTAATAATTACTGGTGGTATAATAGTGATGTGTGGTGTCTTAGCGTCAAGGGAAAACCGATTTTGATACCAGTTATTAGGCTCTAAGAACGAGCCCTCTCGATACAACTCGGATACACACGATAGAGTCTCATGTGCCCTTTTTGGAACATAATATCAAATTCTTGGTGTTTTTGTGTGCAATGTGAACGAAGGGAAACAAAAGTAACCAGCCAAAACAAACACCGAACACAAGATTTAACGTGGTCCATCCTTTCTTGATACATACACAGGAGAGAGACCTACAATACACCAAAACAATTAAAATTACAAAAACTCGATGGGATAAATCAAAATTACATTCCTATATGAAGCTTTTAATCTCTCCAAGTTCAATCTGTAATGAAATTCACAATGAGGTTCCTCAACTTCCTTGAAAAGCTGCTGGATTCTCCCATTGCAAAGCAAAAATAAAAGAAAAATTACAAAAAAAACTCCAAGACTGCACTTTCTATGCAACTTACCCCTAACCTAATTTTTTCTCTCACGTTTTTCCCCAAAATACACATTTTATGCAAACCCCCAACCAAATAAAAAATCAAAAAATGGCTAAACTACCATCCTTCACTTTTACCTTACCCATGACTCTCTGCCCTCTATTCCACTAAAATAGGGGCTCCAACACTGTGTAAGTGCTGTCCGGTAGTAGGGCTCCGGTACTGTGTAAAGTGCGGTCGGGCAGTAGGGCTCCAGCACTGTGTAAAGTGTGGCCTGGTAGTAGGCTCCGACACTGTGTAAAGTGCGATCTGGCAATAGGCACCGACACTATGTAAAGTGCGATCTAGCAGTTACAAAGGGTGGTCTTGCAGTAGATGTTACTGGATTCCAGGATTTCGATACTATATAAAGGGTGGTCCGACAATACTCAGTTTTGGTCAGGTGCTACTGGGGTCCAAAAGTCAACGTCAACTCTGGCCAAAATGATTTTTGTGTACCGAAAAGGTATTTTCATATAAAAATAAATAAATTTTTTCTAATGGGGATATTTACATAAAAAATATTTTGGAAAAAAAGTGACCGAAAGAATCACATTAGGGATAAGTTACATAGAGGTGTGGCCTTGTGTGTGTTCTATAATTTTTCAAAATAAAAAAATCATGGACCAAAAAAGCACACACCATTTAATGGTACAGTATAGTGTAAACACGATGTAAGCGTCACGCAATTGCCCTACCAACCACTCCGCACCAGCTGGGCCTAAACCACCAACTCCCTCTCTCTCTAGACCTCTCTTATCTCCCTTCTCTCTCTCTCCAGACTGTAGTCTATTTTAATATCCAAGGTTTCGGTTTTTTATTCCCATAAAAAATGTACATCGCAACTACTCCCCACGCCAGGTCCACCCCATTAGTCCTATAAACGGGCACCTTCTCGCCCCTCTCCCCAACTTCAGGGAAAAGCAGAAGAAGAGCATCTAAAAATGGGCAGCTTTCAATCAGAGAGAACAGTCAATGGATGGGCAGCTAGGGATGCTACAGGAATACTCTCTCCCTACTCTTATACTGTCCGGTATCATCAAACCCCCTTCTCTCTCTCTCATTTTTAGGGTATACCATGAGATAAATGAAAAATTTACTTTTAATCTCTCCCTTTTTTAGGGTAACATTCATTCAATCCACACTTCCTAGTAGCAAGAATATCAGCGCCCATCCCCATAAAATGTGTGATCTTTGATTTAGGCAGTAGAAAACAATAAATGAAGGGCATTAATGCAATGGTTTCCCATTTCTAAGGTTGCTTTGGGAAAGAGGGCATGAAACTCCCTGTCAGTGGCATTTCAGATTGTTTTCCTCTTTCTAAGAAACCCTATGGAGGGAGCCTTGTTGCAAGTATTTCATTGGGAAGTCCATTCTAGTATGCCTCTAAATGAATTAAAAGACCTAGTGAATGAGTTAGAAATTTTATGTAAGGTGTCAACCTTATATTGTAGAAATAAGATGTACCTCACAAAGCCATTAAATATTTTTTATCATTGAAAAATCCTCTAATCGGTTATCTTGACTTCATATGTGTGGGTATAAGAGAAATGAGTTTCAAATCATAAAAGTAATATCTATTGTGATAAATTATCTAGACCTTCTATTTTTAAGATTTTCAAGTATTTATAGGTCAGATCTGTTTATGGAACTTTCAATCTTATAAAAAAGGTGACCCAAAATGTATCTTTTATTAAATTTTTAAAGTGTTTTAAGGTTGATACCTTGTCCAAACCTCTCCCAATTCTAGCAGGGACAAAGTAGGGGACTAAAGGGAAAGGGCCTTTGGCTAATTGTGAAGGACTAAGGGGAAAGGGCTGTTGGCTAATTGTGAGCTTTTCACCTTTCGTTAGAGAGAGAGAACCCACTCATACTTACCCAAAAAAAAAAAGAACCCACTTAGTGTATTTATGATATTTGTTTTGAAAAGTGCATCATGTGTGCTCTGGACAAAAAAAAACAGGGAGAACCCACTCAGTGTGTTTATAATATTTGTTTTGAAAATTGCTTTATTTGTGGTATTGACAGGAAAACAGGGCCTCAAGATGTGGTGGTGAGAGTGATATACTGTGGGATATGCCATACAGACCTTCATCAGATTAAAAATGATCTGGGCATGTCTAATTACCCCATGGTACCCGGGTACAGATCGATCGAAAAACTCGAAGAATTTGAATCCATGGATCTTCTGTAATTCTTTTCAATAGAAAGTGTATGTTCTATACGCATGGTGATTTTGTGATATTGAAAAAATGCAGGCATGAGGTGACAGGGGAGGTTGAAGAGGTGGGTTCAGAGGTGGAGAGGTTCAAGGTCGGGGATAAGGTTGGGGTTGGATGTATAGTGGGTTCGTGTGGTGAGTGTGGTTGCTGCAAGGGAAATATTGAGCAATATTGCAACAAGAAAGTGTGGAGCTATAACGACGTCTATGCTGATGGAAAACCCACCCAAGGTGGATTTGCCTCCACCATGGTTGTCAACCAAAAGTAAGCGTTTCTTTCCTCTTTTCTGCTGTGACTGAGAGAGAAGGAGAGGCTCTTTTCCATTTTCTAGAGAGAGAGAGAGGAGCTAAGTCGAACCTATAAGAGAGAGGAGGCTAATGATTTTTCGGTCCTAAGTACGACCGTAGTTACAACTCTATAGTTTAAAAAAAAAGAGTTTATGTATAGATGCAACCTTATAACGTAGAACTACGGATGCACCTCAAAAAATATGTTGAAAAGGTAGTTTTAATATTGAAAAACCTTTTGATTGTTCATCTCCACATCTAGCCGTATGACCATGAAAAACAAAAAGATTTTAAGTTTAAAAATTAATGCATTTTACAACATATTATATTTTCTGTCTATTTTCAAAATTTTTATATATTTATATACCTATTTGATTTTAATTATTTTTTAAATTTAAAATTTTATAACTAGATATAAAAATAGATTTTGAGATAATCCTACGAACATTTTACATCAAAATTATATACCATGATAAATTTTGAAGGTACACCTTACTTTTATAGCTACGGATGCATCCGTATGCCAATTACACCCTTGTTTAAAACATAATTTTTTAAAACAATCTCCGATTTGAACTCCGAATTATTCACGAGTTTATAGCATATCTCGTTTTTTTTTTTGCTCCCCGATTTTTTCCGGGGACTTTTTGAGACAAAACTGATCGTTTTGGCTTTGCCGATATATTATATTTCCTGATACGACAAAAGGGGTAGTACGTTTTAGGTGTGAAAATCAAGAGAAAAAGCGCTTTAATAATTATAGGAACTATAGCATGCGGAGGGGGGAATCTACTTATTTCTAGGGCTGCGTGGTGGAATCACTTCACATTACCATCAGCAACATCATATGCCTCCCGAATGAGATGTCTCAAAGAAACATAATCCCTACGGGGGTGGGGGGGGTTAGCTCAGGACAGGCTTGGTAGGGCTAAAGAAGCTTCATCCAGGGCAGCCGGGCTGGGCCATCCTAAATGAAGAAAAGGAAGAAAACTAAATGTTTAAAGAAAAATATATTGAAAAAAAAGGGTTGGGCAAGGCTGACCATGTCTTTGCCTCAACTTATGCCCTTTGGGGTGTGGTGGCTACCCATCAAGCTGCATTTTGTGGCACATGCCTTAAGTTTTTAGGGCCAAGCCAATCGGGTTGGACCAGGCCACCCAACCCATTGCTTGTGTCCTTTGACGATTGTGCTGCTGCGTATAGCTATCAAGAATTCTAAAATGTTAATAGAATAAGAAACTCACAATATTATTGGACATTTGGAACTAAGGAGTTTGGTTTCCTTGTGACCCGTCTTTGAAACCCAAAATCAAGTATTGGATTTGCTACCCACCGTACAGATCGAGATCATCAATTATTATTTGGATCAAGCATTCTTCAGTGTAATAAAATAAAATAAAAATTTTAAAAATAAAAAATAATTTATAAAAATTAAATTAATTTGAAATTGCTCGGTTCTTTGTCTGGATTGTTGATTCTAATGACATAAACGCTCAATAGTTAGCAGAGGTAGGTAATTTCTACCGAGTCTGAGTCTGACCATTCTCTGAGTGACCCATTTCCAAGGAACCAAACAGAACCCAAAGAAATTGAATTGGTCACCTATTGAGTCGGATAATATACGACCACCTAAAATAGGGGAAAAATATAGTTTATCACCATTCAAATGAAAAACATGTAGTTTAGCACCTAATGTGGTAAGAGAAGTGTTGATCACCATTCAAATGATACGTCCATCTTCTTTTTCGACGTACTCCTGGAAGTATAATATGAACCCTCGCCAAAATTTAATGAACCCTCCCCAAAATTTAATGTATAAGGCGTCCTTAGGTTGTCGGTTTGCCCTAGTTTGGTCAGTATGATGTTGGGCGGTCACTATGTCCCTTCCCATGAACAATACTGGGGTTAAAGGTCTTTTGGAGGTATATACAACAAGATTATTTAGTTTAATATAAGGTCGCAATCATCAACTGTTGAATATAAAATTGAGTGGTTGGTAGCGTATCACTAAAAATGGTAATGCATTGCCATGTTGGGTTCCGTATCCATTGGCTATAACTATCTTTTATTAAAAGGAACATTGTTTTATATTACATGGGACACATTTTTGCATTTGTGTCCCCATAGGTATAAAGCATCCATTTTAAAACTGGATGCAAATGGGAGTTACATCTAAAAACAGATAAAACTAACCATCTATAAAATTCTTATTTTTAATTTTTAAAATTGATTTAGTTTTTCATATTCATGATGATGTTAGAGGTTATATGTTCTTAAAAATTGGGTCTAAAAATCTATCTAAAAAAATATATATTTAAGAGGGGACTCATTTTTACATGGACTCATAAAAACCTTGTCCTTATCAAAATTCAAAAGGAAACGATCTTGTAGTATACACTCTCCTTTCTTTTTGTTGATCGGGCAAAGTTGAGTAATAAACTCACGGGGGTGTTGAAAAAAGGTAGATTCCCGGCCCACTTATCCGGATTGTGTCCATTAAAAAAAACAAAAAAGGGTTGGTATTATGTCCTTAAATGGTAGTTCAGATTGAACAAGCCTCATCCAAGGGCTACAAATGAATTTGTTTTCATTTTCATTTGAAAATGATATTAACGTGAAATTTAGGGTTTAGCTTCATATTTATGATTTGGAGTGAATAAAATAATAAAAAATATTTTGAATAAGACATATTGATCATAATAAATTCAGAGATATTTTGGTAATTTTTTTTAAAAATAATTTTTATCTGTTTTTTTTTTAAATTTATCTAAATATCTTATTTAAATAAAAATAAAATAAAAAAAAGTAAATTTTTATGAGTAGAATTGAATAAAATAATAAAAAATATTTTGAATAAAAAATATTGATTAAAAGCAATTAAGAGATATTTTGGTCACTTTTATTTAAAATATTTTTTTTCAGTTTTATTTAGTTATTTTTATAAAAATTACGAACACCCTAAAATTTAGATAAATATCTTATTTAAATAAAAATAAAAATGAAAATATGAGAGTAAGTTTCGGCAGTTAGATATATCCTTGTGATATCTCAACTATTAGAAGGGGTGATTATGTACCCTTCCACTCATTGTGGATTCTTCCGCATGATGTTGGTCAAGATATTTTTCCAAAAGCTAAATGCATATAGATTAATAAAGAAATATATACGAAGAGACCATTTATTTTAAATATGAGGAGGCTATAATCACTATTGCTTGTCAAATTTCAAATTGGATGGTTGTGAATGCATTATTGATTGGACTTAAAGCCCAAAAAAACAACAAAAAAAAAATCTTGAACTTTGCGACGCACCTCAAGCCATCTAATTTGACATCTAATGGCTAGTAGTAATTGTGACCACTTTATAGCAAAGCTAAACAATATAATAATATACAATCTATATTAACTATCACATAAAACATATCATATAACACAAATGACTTAGGTGGTCTTTTCAAGTTAACTGGAAAATAAAATAAAATAAATGAAGACTCCGAGTTTATATTATATATTTATATAAGGGAAAAGTTTATATAAGGTTGCAACCTTAAAATGTAGAACTACAGTTGAACCTCAAAAATCCATCGGAAACGGTAGCCCTTTGTTTGATCATCTCGACATCGAGATGCACGATTATGAAAAATAAAAAGATTTTAAGTCTCAGAAATAGTGCATTTTACAATATATTATCTATACCGTCCATTTTCAAGATTTTGATATGTTTATAGATCTACTTGATTTTAACCATTTTTTAAATTTAAAATTTTATAATTAGATATAAAAATAGATTTTGAGATAATCTTAAGAATATTTTACATTAAAATTATATACCATGATAAAATTTGAAGGTGCACCTTACCTCTACACCTACGGATGCATCTGTATGCCAACTTCACCATTCAATAATTTCATCAAAATAAGCAATATTGTCATCAATATTTTTTTCATGAACTATAATATTGTCATCAATATTTTTTTCATGATCTTTTAAGATTTTCATATGTTTATAGATCTATTTCATTTTAATCATTTTTGAAGTTTAAAATTTTATAATTAGATTTGAAAATAGATTTTGAGATAATCTTAAGAATATTTTATATCAAAATTATATATCATGATAAAATTTGAAGGTGCGCCTTAAATAGATTAAGGTTGAAACCTTATGGAAACCACACTAACCCAAATGGTTTAGTAGGTCTTTTTAAATTAGAAAGGGCACTTGGGAGGGTGAACCTGCAACCTTGTAGACAAACTCTAAATGATAGTTATTTGACTTTTATGGTAAAAGTTGTATATAACATACATTTATAGTGATTGATTTGATGATTGAGATGAAAAATGGGACCATCTTAGGCACTTCCTTATCCACATCATTGTCCAAATCAAATAAGGCCACAAAAGACGGCAAAGAGTTACACCGCAAGATCATAATGTCATTAATGACATCGGAACACGTCCCCGAATTTCTTCGCATGTCATTTTTTCGGCATTAAAAACCTCGTATCACTTTCAAAAGATAAAAAGGCCTAAAAGAAAATGAATGAAAGAAATACTCCTAGGTACCGGTGTTTAATGCATAGAATGCCACCAACCAGCAAAAAAAAGAAAAAGGAATCATGCTCATACGAGGCATTGGCTATGGTTCACACTAATAAAAAATTGAATATATATATATATNTATTAGATTACTAGTTATATTAATATAGTATTAGTATTATAGTATAGTATACGAGACGG